ACACACACACACACACATCAAACCTTCATCATCCTCAGTCAGAGCAAAACACACACACACACACACACATCAAACCTTCATCATCCTCAGTCAGAGCAAAACACACACACACACATCAAACCTTCATCATCCTCAGTCAGAGCAAAACACACACACACACACACACATCAAACCTTCATCATCCTCAGTCAGAGCAAAACACACACACACACACACATCAAACCTTCATCATCCTCAGTCAGAGCAAAACACACACACACACACACATCAAACCTTCATCATCCTCAGTCAGAGCAAAACACACACACACACACACATCAAACCTTCATCATCCTCAGTCAGAGCAAAACACACACACACACACACACACATCAAACCTTCATCATCCTCAGTCAGAGCAAAACACACACACACACATCAAACCTTCATCATCCTCAGTCAGAGCAAAACTAATTTTGTTTACAGATCGTTCGGGTCTAAACTGATAAATGTGACTCGAAGACATTAAGATATTAGACACAATAAAGTCGTAATGAAACAAGTATTGTGACAAATTGGAGTGAAATGAATTATTGGATGAAAAAACCCTGTAGGGCGGGGCTTAGTCTTATCTGCTGGTTGATGATTGGATGTTGAAAAGTGGGCGTTGCACTCCAAAATGGAGGCAAATCTGAAGGCGAGCCTGGGGGCGGGGCTTAAGCAAACCTACACGGTAATAAGCCTTGGTTTTTTTTTTTTTAACCCAACCGTTGGGTTACACATATTGGGTCACTAAGTTGGGTTATTTTCACAAAGATGTTGGTTCAATTTTAAAATCGTTTCTAGTAATAACCCGCTTGTTGGGTAAACAATTATGTATATTTACATTAAATTCCAGACTCTTCAATATTTAGGTTGTAATTTAAAAATATATTTGTTGAGACATATTTATTGTTTTATACGAACAATCTGTATTTGAAAACAAAGTGTATTTGAATTATTAAAATAATGTCATAAATAAAAATAAATAGTTAACTGTTGGGTTACCTTTAACCCAACTGGCTTTTAACCCAATGCATTGGGTTACAATAATCCACAGTTGGGTTACTCATTGGGTTATTTTTAACCCAACATTATTAAGCGAGTAATAATTGGATGAGACCAGCATACGTCATCATGTTCAGTCATAGCACGAGGTTATTCTTCTATATATTTATTCCCGATAGCAGCTGATGAATCGCACACTCGAGGTGAGTGTGTGTGCGTGTGTGTGTGTGTGTGTGTGTGTGTGTGTGTGTGTGTGAAGGACCTCAGCACTCGAGTCAGTTCTCCCAGCAGCTCCTTCTTGTCTTTGGTGAGATCTCCTTGAGCTCGCAGAGCGCTGATCACCCCGGCGTACGCCTCCAGCTCTGAAACACACGAGAGATGTCACACACACACACACACACACACGCCAGCGTTCAGTGCGAGACTCACCCAGTTTGCGCAGAATCCGTTTGCACTCATCTCTGCTGAGGTCGAGCAGCGTGGGCCAAACCACCGGCATGCTGCCCGCCAACGGCTTATCCTGCTGAATCATCCACTGCGCACACACACACACACACACACACACACGTTTAACACCACAGAACTTGCCTATGGTTGGCTGAATAAATCAGACGTACAGTAGTGCTTCGCACAGAATCAAACGGTGATATGAAGCATTGTGTTTTGCAAAAAGGAATTGTTTTTTTATTTATTTGATTTTTTTTTTTTTAAGTGTGTTCTGGGGACATTTCTGGGGGAAAAAACAAACAAAAACATTTCATTGGGCCCTAATATTGTAAAAAAAAAAAAATTAGGACTTATAATTTAAAAGAGGGTTTTAAAGTTTTATGAATTCAATTGATTAGACATGCTTTCTGACTATTAACAATTAAAATGGAATCTAGAAAAATTAAAACGGAGAAGAAGAAATTTTTTGGGAAAAAATTATACATATTTCATTGGGCCCTAAAATGTCTTTTGGGTGAAACTTTTAATAAATCGTTGTTAAACTGTAAAAGTGTAATGATTCAATTAGAAAGACATGCTTTTTGATTTTAAACATTTAATTAAAGCATTAAATCAGAGTTCAGGAATATTTAAATAGAAAAAACAAAAGGGGAATGTGTGATATATATATTCAACATTATGTGAAAATAAAACAATTTAGGGAAAACATTTAACAGAATTTAGGATAAAAAAAAACATAATTTAGGGAAAACATTTAACAGAATTTAGGATAAAAAAAAAACATAATTTAGGGAAAACATTTAACAGAATTTAGGATAAAAAAAAACATAATTTAGGGAAAACATTTAACAGAATTTGGGATAAAATAAAACAGAATTTAGGGAAAACATTTAACAGAATTTGGGATAAAATAAAACAGAATTTAGGGAAAACATTTAACAGAATTTAGGATAAAAAAAACATAATTTAGGGAAAACATTTAACAGAATTTAGGATAAAAAAACATAATTTAGGGAAAACATTTAACAGAATTTGGGATAAAATAAAACAGAATTTAGGGAAAACATTTAACAGAATTTAGGATAAAAAAAAAACAGAATTTAGGGAAAACATTTAACAGAATTTGGGATAAAATAAAACAGAATTTAGGGAAATAAAACTGAATTTGGAGGGGAAAATAAAAACAGAATTTGGGGGGAAATGAAAGTGATTTCTCGGCCCTGTATGACACGAGAACAGCAAACGCCGCTGGATAAAGGCTCACTCACCTCTGACACACTGCACTCTCTCTGGGTCTCTACGAGCTGACGATCTTCACCATATCCTTCAGGAATACACATCATCATCATCATCATCATCACAGACCCATGAGCACAACATGGCTGTCACTCCCTGCACTTGTATTGTTCTTATTGCACATTTCTGCTTCTTATTCATCCGCTGTATTGACTCTATTGTCTCTTACTGTAAATGTGTATTATTGTTATTGTCTAATTTTAGTACTCTTTTATATTTTTTAGTTTCTTATGCCCTTCTACCCTGTCTTTCTCAAGAGGAATGGATAATGGACAAAATAATAATTTCATTGTACTAAAGTACAGAGTACAATAAAGATCTTAATGGGTCAGATCGTAAAAACACAATTTTCTTGTTCTTTTGAAATAAATAAACACCGAAATTTTCAAAACTACTATAAAAGACCCAAAAAAACACGTATTTGACGTCATGCGTGTGTATATAAACGTATACCCCGCCCACATCCCCACATCAAAGCCAGTTCGGCCGCTCGCCCCGCCCACTCATTAAGAAAACATGAGTTTCAAGTGTTGTGATTCGCGTCAGATCATTCTGACAGCTTACATTAAACACATCAGCTGAGATCATCGTGTTTATTCTGATCTGATCTAAATGAGAGAGTTGAATATCATCTGATCTGAGATCAGTGTTTATTCTGACAAGATGGAATCGAACCAATAATATAATCGCGATAAACGTTTAGTTTGATCACGTCAATCCGGGGTTTTTCAGTAGAAAGCAGGATAACATACATGTTTATCATAAAACAGAATTTTTCATAAACACTAACGGTTCTGAGATGGTGTTTTTCTGTCATTGTCAGTGTGATGTGTGCAGAGTTAGCTTTAGCCGTTAGCCTCTCTGGAGTTTCTCGCATCACACACATAAACACAGCAGTGACCCTCTGCTTGCACAGCTCAATCGAGTGTGTGTGCCAAACCACAGCTGATCATCAGCACACACACTAGTGTGTCATTTCTAATGTTAGCCGTGTGTTTATATCTGCACTTACCTTCAGTTCTGCACAGTCCTTCAGCTCCGCCATGTTTATCCGACGCCAAAACACTGGGGCTGCCCGCGGGAAAGCCCAAACAACCGCAAGAATATACAACACATACAGCTAACCTAAACAACCGAACGCGGTCTGTGCATAATGAGAGTTGCTAATAATTTTTTTCTCGCGAATTTTATTAAATGTCAGTCACCACAAAATACACATTTGGAGGCGAACAGGCACTATGTTGGGCAGCAATCAGAAGATGCCATTGTTGACATTCTTTTGTGCGCTGGAGAGACGCGCGTTCATGTGCACTAGCGCGCGCGTAATTGTTTTGTTGTATTTCGTCACATAATATTTATAGGTAAATATGTATAATATCGTTTAGTTTTTGGCGATGTGAGTGCCAATAAAACACATTAAAACTGAAAAATTCCCAGTAACAAAAACAAATGTCTTTATTTACACTAAATACACATATGGTTTGATGCGAATATTATTAGGCCTACACATCAGCACAAATTATACTCCAGCCCAATGTATTGAATTTAAACAGAACCTTTTCATTTGTTTCAGATTTCAATAACACGACAATCACATCTCAAACACAGATGATCACCTGAGAACTAAATCACAACCTTCACCACAACGAGTTCAAGAAGTGTCAAAATATCATCATCTGAGGACATGAATATGAATACTATTCTTAGATCGCTTTAAAATGTCAAAAACTGTCAAGATATTTAAACACAGGAGAGTGGCTGAGATGACAAAAACACACACAAAGCTTAAATTATCATATACGATCACATGAAGATTATAACAGGATTAAACATGTACCATAAGCACAATAACACAAAACAAGTGGATTTCCACAGATGTGCATAATTCTTCCCAGATCACCAACACTCCCCTTATTCCTCTATGAGAATCACCTGAAATCATATTATATTTCTGATTTGAATTAAGACCTTAGAGTTTTATTTGATTATAAACTTGTTTCTGCCACAGAGTACAAAAACAAAAAAGGAAACCGTCACCTTTTCCTCGCAATTCTAAGAAAAAAAAAGTCTAAATTGTGAACTCAACTTTACAAAAAATTAAGTCAGAATTTAGATATAAACTCCAAATTGGGATAAATAAAGTTTTGAAAAACTCGTAATTATGAAAGTCAGAATTTTGTGAAATAAACTCAAAACTGCGAGAAATAAAGTCAGAATTGCGAGAAAATCTCGTAATTACAAAAAATATGAATTGGGAACTAAATTTTACGAAAAATTAAGTCAGAGGTTAGATATAAACTCGTAACTACGAAAAAAGTCGGAATTGCGAGAAAAAGTCAGAATTGTGAGATAAAAACTCGCAATTGAGAAAAAGTGTGAATTTTGAGATAGAAACTCAAAACTGTGAGAAATAAAGTCAGAATTGTGAGAAAAACTCGTAATTTCGAAAAGTTAGAATTGCGAGATATAATGTCTGAATTGTGAGAAAATCTCGTAATTACGAAAAATATCAATTGCGAAAAACTCAAAATTCCCTTTTTCTTATTTTGTTATTCCGTGTTGGAAACAAGCTTCTGTAGATTGTAACTGAAAGATTAGTCAGGTGAGTCGCTCACGGTTTGATTGACAGGCGTCAGCTATAATCGCTATAATCAGCGACACCTCTAAACACTCAGCGGGACGAACCGCTGGGCCTGACCGGCTCCGATCTCGGCCACGTACAGGTCAGAACTCTTCAGGTCCAGGTCCACCAGGTGTGGTTTCACATCTTCAGCCAGCTCAATGGTGCTGATCACCTGACACTGGCCGATGATGCCGATGGGCGGAGCCTCCAGCAGAGCGATCTGATTGGTGTTTAACTGGGCCACCACTATGTACTTCTGGTCGGGAGTGAATCTGCGGGTCATACACACAGAACATCTACATCTTCAACCCTTTAAATACACAGAAACACAAATACCGTCGTCCGACAATTCAAAAGGCAATTATATATTGTCATCAATAAAGACCGGATTTAATTGTGTGCTGCACTGTAAAGTATTATTTGGAAAATATTTTAAGTTATTACACACTATAGTACTGTGCTGTTAAATGTATTATTTATGTAAATACATTTTTATTGTTTATTTATTTTTATGTAGTTTTATTATTTTTAAAAGATTTTAACTTTTTATTGTTTTTTTATATATTTAAACATTTTGTTGTTTACTTATTTAAAAAAAAAAAATTATTGTTTAAAATTTTATTTTCATGTAATTTTTTTAAATAATTATTTATTTAAACACATTTTTCATTATATACTTCTTTATTTTAATGTAACTTTCATATTTATTATTTATTTCAAACACATTTGTATCGTTTAATTACTGATCTAATCTATATTAATCTAATTTTTATTTTAATATTTTTTTATTTAAATTAACTGTAAATGTATTTATGTAAGTATTAGCATTAATGTTTTTATTGATTGTATGATGTGTGTCACCTGACGGAGTACGGCGCGTCGTCTTTAAAGCAGCTTCCCCACGACCCGAGCCAGTCGCCCGTCACCGAGTTAAACACCTGGATACGCTTGTTCCCCCGGTCTGCGACCCACACCTGAACACACACACACACACACACACACACACACACACACACACACACACACACACACACACACACACACACACACACACACACACACACACACACACACACACACACACACACACACACACACACACACACACACACACACACACACACACAGACCCTTAGATCTGAAGACTGAAGGAGAGACCGGAAATCTTTTGATTGCAAGATAAACATTTGCAGAAGGTTTTCAGTAAGAGCAGAACATGAACTAAAGCTCCCGGTGAAACAGGAACACACACAGGAACACACACATGAACACACACACACACATGAACACACACATGAACACACACATGAACACACACATGAACACACACACACACATGAACACACACATGAACACACACAGGAACACACACATGAACACACACACACACATGAACACACCCTCTGATGAACACACCCTCTGAAGAACACACACAGGAACACACACATGAACACACCCTCTGAAGAACACACACAGGAACACACACATGAACACACCCTCTGAAGAACACACACAGGAACACACACATGAACACACACACACACACACATGAACACACACATGAACACACACCCTCTGATAGCCGTCGACCGCCACACTGTGAGGGATGTATAACTGAGCCAGTCCTGGACCTCTCTCTCCGTGCATCCAGAGAACCTGCAGATCTGACACACACACACACACACACACACACACACACACACACACACACACACACACACACACACACACACACACACACACACACGTCTATATTACTAACACAGGGGACTATCGCTCTGCCCAAGAGGGGACTAGTGTTTCGGGTCATTTTGAAGAAACAAAAATGACATACAAAATTTTATTTTAAGGTCCTTTTTCATAATATAACTTAAAATATGGATTTTTTTTATTTAAAAAAAAAAACATGCCAAGAGGGATCTGCAAGCCCCTTTCATGAGACTGTGTTGACAGGGGAGTGGACTCCTATAGCCTGCAATGGAACTCTGTGTGTGTGTGTGTGTGTGTGTGTGTGTGTGTGTGTGTGTGTGTGTGTGCGTGCGTGCGTGAACAGTGAAGTGAACGTCCTGGTTGTGTATGCAACGAAATTTTAACATTTAGTGGCCATTTGGCTGATGGTCGAAAAAGTAAATTTCAAACCCTGAAAGAAAGTCATTAAAAATATTTTTAATATGAAAACAGAATAAAATATATAAAATAAAAATAGACAGAAATATAGAGTGCAGTTGCCCCAAATTCAATAAAAGGAATTAAAATTCCACAAAGAAATTAATTTAATGCTGTATAGTATATTGGCAACACTTTAAGTTAAAATACACAGACACGTGGAACAATAACACACATGATCCTTTATTGTTAAAGAGAACATCACAAAAGCAAACGTTAAGAACAAACCTTACAGTGAAGTAGGAGACATCTCGTGTTCAGCACTTACACTTTTATAATGAACAACATTTACTTACTCAAAGATTCAGAAGTCTTCAACGAGGAAGGAGGAGCAGATGTCATTTTAAGGAATTTTTTTTCATTTTTTTTTTTATTGACACAACAATCAACCCACATATTCACATAACAACACGACAGCACAACATGTGTACAGACATACATTGTGCTTTTTCATCGTATAAAGAAAAGAAAAAGGAAAAAAAAAAAAATATATATACAGTTAGGTCCATATATATTTGGACACAGGCACAATTTTTCTTTTTTTCAGGTATTTACCAACACATATTCAAGCTATAGTTATTTAACCCCTTAACTGTCACCTGCCCGTATACGGGCAAACTAAATTTACTTCACTATATTACTATTAAATCCTAATCTAGTCATGACAAATTATATATCGTTGGAAAGGTCTAAGACTCCTAAATAGATATTTTAGCGCTGTTTTTTTCTTACAAATTGTGAATGAACAGTAATATATGAATTTATGACAAGAGTGCGCCTCAAAAAATCGACGTCATTACAGGAGTTTCTGACCTTTGTCACAAAAAGTCGACGCACACACTTTTAATAATTGAAACTTTGGTTTTTAGTGCTAAAAGTTCATAATAAAACATAATCTAGTATTTGTCAATAAAAAAAGATAAAATTATATTTTAAAAAGTAAAGTAAGAAGTCCTCTAAAAAGTATAGTATGTATTATATATATATATATAATTTTTTATTATTATTATATCACATATTTTAGTAGTTATCATAAATTAGGTATCATTTGAAAGCTTACGAACTCAGAATTCATCCTGTGAAAACCGTTTTGAAATTGGACGTTGCGTTACCATAGAAACGGTATTTTTTATTAGGCCCCTCCCCTTTTGGGCATCATCTTTCATAATTTATTATCAAAACCTTTTCTAATCTTGACAAAACACATATTGTCAGAAAGGTCTGAGTCTCAAGGTTCCATATTTAGTGACAGAAGTGATATTTGGATAGAAATTTATTAATTTGTTATGGCAGAATGCATACAATTAAATTCAATGGAATTCAATGGCACCCGGTGGCTATTTTTGGCACTACGCCTAAACAAAATCTCATGGGAACTTCAATTTTTGTGATATCAACTTTAAATTTGGAACACAACTTGGGTAGATATATAGCTTTCATTTTATAGTAATTTTATAGTAAAAAATATTTTGTAAAATATTTATTTTATATTAAAAAAAATATATTAATAAACTATATTTGATTTACTGTAAATTATAACTTTCATAACTTTTTCATACTTTAATTTTTTGAAGTGCATTCACTTTAGTAATAATCTGCTGATTGTTTTCTTTAAAACAAGACCAAACTTAGGTCTATATTCCAAAGCATTCTTGAATTTCAACCATTTAAGTTTGTATAGTGCATTTTAATGTAAATTATCAAAAGGGGGGGTGACAGGTAAAGGGTTAATGGATATGGGCTGAAAGTGCACACTCTCAGGTTTAAATTGAGGGTATTTACATCCAAATTGGAGGAAGGGTTTAGGAATTACAGCTCTTGAGAGAGCCACCACCCCCCCCCCCCCCCTTTTAAGGGACCAAAAGTAATTGGACAATTGAATCAAAAGCGATTTCATGAACAGGTGTGGGCTATTCCTTTGTTATTTCTTCATCAATTAAACAGGTAAAAGGTCTGGAGTTGATTCTAAGTGTGGTATTTGCATTTGGAGTATATTGCTGTGAACATACATCATGCGTTCAAAGGAACTCTCCATGCAAGTAAAACAGGCCATCATTAGGCTTCAAAAACAAAATAAATCCATCCGAGAGATAGCAGGAATATTAGGAGTGGCCAAATCAACAGTTTGGTACATTCTGAGAAAAAAAGAATCCACTGGTGAGCTCAGCAACATAAAAAGGCCTGGACGTCCACGGAAAACAACAAGTCAAGTCAAGTCATCTTCATTTATATAGCGCTTTTAACAATGGAGATTGTTTCAAAGCAGCTTTACAGAGATAAACATACAATTTACGGTAACAGAGATTGTTTTGGCTTTATAGCGATTTTGAATAATGTTATTTCCGGCTAAAGTTAGTTTTGATTGATTCACTTCCCGCAAAATTATCATTTGTTATTACATTAGGGGCCACTAAGACGACGGCGTTCTCTCTAAACAGAGTTTAAACGCGAACCTGTGACCTGATGGCGTTCACATGCGCAATAAAAATTGATTCTATAGTTATATTCGTTTGAATATGTGTGCGCAGGTTTGTAATTTCCCTACAAACCATGCCTAAACAAACTACTTGTCTTGCCTATAAATTTGATACCGAATTTTATTTTATCACTTTATTTTAACAGTGGTTGATGATCGCAGGATCCTCTCCATGGTAAAGAAAAACCCATTCACAACATCTAGCCAAGTGAAGGACACTCTCCAGGAGGTAGGCGTGTCCTTGTCAAAGTCTACAATCAAGAGAAGACTTCACGAGAGCAAATACAGAGGGTTCACCACAAGGTGCAAACCATTCATAAGCATCAAGAATAGAAAGGCCAGATTAGACTTTGCCAAAAAGCATCTAAAAAAGCCTGATCAGTTCTGGAAAAGCATTCTTTGGACGGATGAAACTAAGATCAACCTGTACCAAAATGACGGGAAGAAAAAAGTATGGAGAAAGCTTGGAACAGCTCATGATCCAAAGAATACAACATCTTCTGTAAAACATGGTGGAGGCAGTGTGATGGCATGGGCATGCATGGCTTCCAGTGGCACTGGATCACTGGTGTTTATTGATGATGTGACAGAAGACAGAAGCAGCCGGATGAATTCTGAAGTGTATAGGAATATACTGTCCGCCCAGATTAAGCCAAATGCAGCAAAGTTGGTTGGACGGCGCTTCACGGTACAGATGACAATGATCCAAAACACACTGCAAAAGCAACCCAGGAGTTTTTTAAGGAAAAGAAGTGGAATATTCTGCAATGGCCGAGTCAATCACCTGATCTCAACCCGATTGAGCATTCATTTCACTTGCTGAAGGTAAAACTAAAGGCAGAAAGACCTACAAACAAACAACAGCTGAAGACAGCTGCAGTTAAGGCCTGGCAAAGCATCACAAAGCAGGAAACCCAGTCTTTGGTGATGTCTATGAGTTCCAGACTTCAAGCAGTCATTGCCTGCAAAGGATTCTCAACAAAATATTAAAAATGAACATTTTATTTATGATTATATTAATTTGTCCAATTACATTTGAGCCCCTGAAAATGGGGGTACTGTGTATAAAAATGGTTGCAGTTCCTAAAATGTTTACTTGATATTTTTGTTCAACCCCTTGAATTAAAGCTGAAAGTCTGCACTTCAAATTCATCTTGATTGTTTCATTTTAATTTTATTCTGGTGGCATACAGAACCAAAAGTATGAAAATTGTGCTTGTGTCCAAATATATATGGACCTAACTGTATGATAAAGAGAAAGAATAACATCAGTAGATCATAGGCAAAACCTGACGACAGCATCAATTCATCCAGTTACAGTTATAATTGTTTTTGGAGATATGTGATAAAGGCCCGGAGCCCCTTAAGTTAAGTCTTATTTTTTCCAAACTCAGGAATTGTAACACATCTCTGGCCCACTGTTTAAAACAAGGGGGGAAGGATTGCTTCCAATTTATCAAAATTAAGTGCCTTGCCAGCAAAGAAGTAAAGGCTATACAGTCCGATTCACTTTTTGAAAAAGTGTTTTTTTCACACACAATACCAAAGATGGCAGTTATAGGATTTGCACAAACATCTTTACTGAATATTCTAGAATAAGATACAAAAATCTGCGCCCAAAAAACAGACAGTCTAGGACATAACCAGAACATATGAGCTAAGGTAGCAGGGGACTGCTTACATCTTGCACAGGTAGGGTCAACAGAGGAATACATCCTTGCCAGCTTGGCCTTGGATAAATTAAGTCTATGGACCACTTTGAATTGAATAAGGCTGTGTCTAGCACAGATAGAAGAGCCGTGGATTCTATATATAGCCTCATTCCATTCCTCATCTGTCAGACAAATATTGAGGTCCAGTTGCCAGGAATGTCTTTGTGCATTAACAGAAGTGGATAATGATGATATAAGTTTTATATATAAGCTAGAAATAGTGCCTTTTTGCTCTGGGTCATCAGGATAGAGTGTGTCAATAGGATTTGGATCGGGAAGGGAAGGAAAAGATATAAAATTCTTGCGTGTG